AAAGTTTCGTCGGAACGAAGTTACCGAAAGTTAATTAACGAACGGAGACGTAACAGTATTGTTAAGTATGGAATATTCGGATTTACAGTCTGGCCCCCTATGGAGGTCAAAGTTCACTAAGTAGATGGTAAGACTGTAGTTAGGAGGAAAACTGTTAAATCCGAAGAAAATTAATAAAGTTAAGGATTTATAATTCCTCTGAGGCATACCCAAGAACCTTTGAAAGTTTCTTGGTGACCAGAAATTGGGGAATATTTTTATTATGGGGAGGAACAGACACAAGCTGCTTTATTGTATAGATGTAGTAGAATTTGGACATACCGAAAATTAATACAAAGTATGCACTAACCGAGAGTTTGTTTGTTTGTAATTAAGCACAAAGCTACACAATGGGCTATCTGTGCTCTAACCACCACGGGTATCGAAACCCGGTTTCTAGCATTGTAAGTCCACAGACATACCGCTGTGCCACTGGGGGGGCCAATCGAGAGTTAAAGTAATAAGTTATAGGGAACCTTTATCCCCATTATTGTAAGTTCCAAAATCCTGATCGTAAAGAGTATGTGATTTTCATTAACTCTTAGTCAGTGTAGTGGACGAAATGGACGTTTTAACTTCAGAAACGTTGTACACAAGAAGTGTCAAAATTCTTCTTAACTGAAACATTTATTTTATTAGCAACAAATATTTGTAAAAAAATGCTTACGATTCAATACTTTAATTTTAACCGTCAAATCATCCATGATTAGGACTATTTTGTTTATTTTAAAGCAGCTTAGGTTTCTTGCTTTTGTGTCATATTCTTATATATATACCAAATCAAACGATGGTGCTATGGTGTGATATGTATTAAGTGAGATGTTAAAGACTTTTTTCCAGATATTCTCGCTGCTATCAGAGCTAACCATCCCTGATTTTCAACTGATAAAGCTAGTTAACTTCGCCTACCTCTTCTAATCCAATAGTGCAATCTGACTGTTGCTCTTTTAACGCATGCACGAGCCTAATAAGCAGAGCATATTTTGCAGCAACCAAACATGGCCCACGGACCCTCGGATTCACAGTTTGGCACACTAATATTTAGGCCACGCCTGGCATATTCAAGAAATAAGTTGTGTTAATATAACCGACTCTTTCTTTTTGGTAAATATTAATGTATTATTTTCAAACATTTCAGTTCAGTAAGAATGTACTAACATTTCATTGACATTGTAAACAATTATTTCATACTACTATGTAACATTTCGACATCACTGTAATTACAAATAAATCAGCTTTTTACTATTCAGTTATTATTATTTTTTTACGATACCGTATGAATAAATATAAAACTACTGTATACTGCTTTTGGCATAAATAGGCTTAAAATAATAGGCTTAAAAATTTATCTTTTGGAGCTTTATAAAAACCTGGAAATTAATTAGAAGATTATTTTAAGAATTCAGGAACTGTGAAATTATTGTGCAGGGTGATGAACTAAAAATATTATTTCTAATTCCCCCCAAATTTTTAAACCAATTACTGTAAGATAAGGAAAGGAAAAAGACAGTTAGTGAAACACAAATACGACTTCCAATATGGGTTCTTTTTTCCCTGTCACCATGTATATTTAAGTTGATCTAATGACTCAAACGTTTATAGATCATTAGCGTTTAAATAACCTACTACTTAACTAGTTTCAATGTTTTTTGCAAATGCTAGCTGACAGTAACATTATGACGTAATGATTCAGTTTGACACCATAGGATGTTTTTTTATGTTAAGTTTCTTTTTATAAAAGCCACAAACTTCAATTTAAATTACTATATAATTTCTGACTTTATAACAAAAGGTGGGAACTGAATATAAAGAACGAACACAAACAATGAAAAAGGCATTTAAAAATTACTTTTCTCACACTTATTCACTTTTGTAGAACACATCTAAAAATGTAGAGGGCGTGAAACTCTTTTTGGAATCACTGAAAATGTAACCAAATTCAAGGTGTATGAAGTTCGTCTTCAAGTTGGATCTCTTGTTCGTTGCGTGAGTTAAGTGTTTGTGACACAACATAACTGATAACTTGTCCAACACAACTACAAGTTAGGAATGATTCTGTAGTTTTACTTATGTTTTTCGTAACATTAATGAGACTTCTGTACTGCCATCCAGTGGCTCAGCAGGAAGTCTGTAGGCTTTTGACGCTAAAAATCGCGGAAGGCACAGCACATTGTGTAGCTTTGGGCTTAAGAAAGCAACAGTGTTGTTACTGAGGGAATGGTCTTAACGTACATGCGAAGTTTGGTTACAATCAGTTCAGCGGTTCACCAGTTATAAGCGGGCACACAGACTTTTGCCAAATAAGGTTATGTATATTCATTACTGTTACGATTACTTTTATCAAATGTCTTTGACTAGTCACTTTGAGAATCTTGATATTCTTTTGTAAAAGACTTGCTCTTTGTATTAGCTTGCAACATTCAATCCAGTGGTCACGCCTATTGGCCAAACTCGTGAAATAATTAGAATAATAACCAGAGAATACTTATACGAAACGCTGCTTTACATTGTTGACTGTACGGAAACTGAAAAAAAATTCATAATTATCCTATAACTTATTCTGTACCAAATTTGTATTCTTCATGGTGTTAAAATACAGTAAGGCCTTGTGGTTAGAGCACTGGAATCACAATTTACGGGTCATAGGTTCGAACCCCCGTCACCAAACATGCTCGCCATTTCAGCTGTGGGAGATTTATAACGTGAAGGTCAGTCCTATTAGTCGTTGGTAAAGAGTAATTCAAGAGATACCGGTAGGTGGTGCTGACTAGATACCTCTTCTAAGTTTCACAACAGTTCCGGTCATGTGACTTCTTTGTTCAATCTGTATATATATATATCCGTGTCT